AACTGAGGAGCGACATAAATAGGAATAAATCGATACAATCATTATTAAGTGTTGCTAACTGGGCCGTGTGAAGGATCTCGCAAGGTCAACAACCGTCATCGCTTGGAGTACTCGAGCCATCAGCCTGCGACCTGTTATTGAGACTATCACATCTACAGAGTCGACCGTCTTCCCCCCCCCCCCCCCCCCAACCACCCCAGCACACTAACAGTGACCAACCCCCTGAAAATCACTGTGACATCGAATTTCTCTCTTGTTGGCTATTTTCGAGGTAGTCTTTTGGAGCAACCGCTCTGCAACTCAGAGTAAACTCCAGGTTTGTTCAAGTGTTCCCATCAACCTGCAACTTGTAACAGGGTCTATGACACCTGCTGACCCTCCCCTCCACCACCCCTACCCCAGCACCCTAACCCCCTGGAAGTCACATTTTCCCGTTTTGGTTATTTTCAAGGTGAGTGGACCACACCCTAACCCCCTGGAGGTCAGATTCTCCTTTTTTGCCTATTTTCGAGGTGCGTGGACGTATCAAACACCCGCGGACGAGTCCGCGGGTCCGATTTTGGATGGCAAACGCAGATGAGGCCGCGTCCACGGCCGACCTGGTCCGCGCCGCGGACCCGATTCTACCAGAATTTTCCTGAATTAAATAATACGTTAAAAATATATATATATATATATATGGGGTTGTAGGGAATTTTAAGCCCTACAACCCCATATTTTGTTGTTTGGAATCCGACTTTGTTTAGGATTTTTAAAAAATCAAAAACTAAATTCGATTTAAATATATATATATATATATGTATATAAAGAAAAGCTGATTTTTTTTTTTTTATCATGAAATATACGGTATTTGAGTTACCTGTATTTTTTTAGAAATGAATTTCTGTTTTTTGCAGGGGTATGAGGTGTTTTAAAAAAATGCAGATGCAAAATTTGAAAATAAAGAAAGAAAAAACTTCAAAAAATGGGTTTGATTGATTGATTGATTCATTGATTCATTGATTCATTGATGGTGAGTGAAAGAGTGAGTGTGTGTGTAACTGTGTGAGAGTTCTTCATGACAAGCATGTCGATGCAAAATACGGAAACCGTAGTGCCATAAAGCTTCGAAGTAATTCATCGACATACCCCCGCTGTCCTTATCAGGCGAGCATAGGACTTCTCATGCCACATAACCCGTCCCGTGGGATTCCTACGCATGAAACATGACCAGAACCTGTCCCCACATATGCGCAATCCGTTGGCCCCGAGATATATATCCTTCGGAGGGCGAGCGGATCTAAAAAAGAGGAAGAACATATAGTCCTCAATCGGTAATATCTTAAGACAAAAAGATCGTAAGAGTGCAAATAATAGGATGATCTGTGCTTGGGTACGGGGCATAGGCCTACATCGAGCTATCTATGCTTAGAAGTCATCATGCAATTGTCGTAATACCATCCGTACTATTTGCGGAATTTATATCAATATACAAGGGAGCTTGCGCTTTGTCCATGGTGAAAGACTATCTGCCATGTAGCGCAAGTTCCTTCCTGTGCCCTGAAAAAACAACACTTTATAGGAATAATCCTAGGATGCCATACATGTGATCTGGGCCAGGCAGGGTGAAGGACATTCATATATATACTTATATATAAGTTATGCATCGTACTCATTATTTTCCACCTCTGTCCTTAACTCATAGCATTAGTTTGTGCCATCCACCATAGTATCCAATCCCTTCTCCGATCTTGGTCAGTCGATGGTAGATAGATATTATGTCTCGAGGCAGCTTCGCTCGTTAAAAGTTTTTCTTTATATATTTATAGGCCATCCCCCGTACTTATTACTTCTCACATCTGTCCCTAAATCAGCCATTCATACATCGATCGCAAATTCAAAACATGAGTGAACACATTTCAGAGAAAAATATACATCGAGCACACATCCAACGCCCTCCATTACAACAAAGAATGAATTCTCTTCCGGCCAGAAAGCTGAAGTGTCATCTCTCTCTCCTCCTTCCTGATCCACAGACAATATGACGGGAAGACTCGTACGAAAATTGAATGAAAATGAAGATACCAGTTGCATCCTCGGAGGCAGTTTCGCGTAATATAGGAGGTCTGCCACAGCAGCTAAAGCAGGGAGGGTAGTGATGATCCCTGAAGCGCTTTTCTGTCGCTAGCCACCAGTACACGGGTTCATCAGACGGAGCACCTGCTTTAAGGTCACAAATGCTTCGTGAGTCGGAGCGGCGATGGAGGCGGCAGAGCTTGCAAGTGGTGTAAGAATGCAAGAAAAAAAAAAAAAGCAAGCAAAGCAACAAAAGCGAGCCAAACAATGGTTGACATCTCGATAGCTACCCCCATCTTCTCATCCGCCCACTCTCTGTTCAACGCCATAGCCCCTAGTTCGACTAGTCTGCAGACTTCCCAACGCTGAAATTGAAGTGGAAAGAAGAATAGCATCATCAACAGCATAGCCCCCCTGCATGCAAAGCAAGAACAACGCAAAGAATGGAAGATGGTGCAATTTTTTAGCGCATGCGTGGTGCATCACAAGTGACTGAAATAGTCAAGAAGTTCTGGAGGCGAGGGCGAGGAAGCTTATACCCTGTGTTCTTCGTCATCGATCATGCGATCCAGTAACTCCTGATCCACCTGGTAGTTCATGGCAAAGGCAACTGCTAAGCACCAGCGTCCCTGTACAGGGCTTAGATCACTGTCTGCCCGATGTTCTGTCAACTGGAATGCCTGCTCCCGTCCGGCCCACAATCCTGTATTACGGCCAAGCGGAAAGTCTGTGCCCTGATCTGATGATGGGAGTCGGGGGGATGTTCCACTTGCTCAAATAGTGCCCCATCATCATCACTTTCCGAGAGATATTGCCCGCGGACAATACAAGCATCGATGGTGACGTGAGGCGGAAAAAAAAACTCAAACAAAAAAAATAAAAACAAACACAATAGCGGAAAAGTTTGAGATGACTTCCCCTAATTGGGGGGATACGATCCGTACCACGCGCCTTCTGATTGTCCTACCTAGTTGGTCGAAACGTCACTGCTGGTGATTAGTGTAAAGGATAAGGAAAAAAAGAAAAAGAGAAAAAGAAGAAAAAAAGAAAAAAGAAAAAAAGAAAAGAGGAAAAAGGAAAGAAAAAAGTGCTCCGTCACCGTCACTTTCCGAGGGATACTGCCCGTGGGCAATACAAGCATCATTGGTGACATTAGGCGGGGCCACTTGAGCAGAAAAATAAAACACAAGTCCAAAAAGGACAAAAAGAGGACAAAAACAAAAAACAAAAACAAGAACAACAAAAGTAGAAAATTTTGAAAACAACGCCCCCTGATTTGTGAGGATACGATCCATATCATACGCCTTCTAATTGTCCTATCAGTTGAGCGAAACACCACTACTTGGAGAATGCGCATGCCTTGCTTCAATGCGCGCACGGGCTGTGTGCACAATCAGACTCATGTTTATTGCAGGCTGTGAGCATTCCCCTGGCCCATAACTGGTGTCTTGCGCTCATCTTTTCGTGGCATAATATGCTCTGATCGAGTTTGTATGACAACTGGGGTGTGTTGCGTACTCGTCATTATTCCGCGCAGTCTTTCATCAGGGTTTATCTTTGATTATTTTTATTATTTATTTATTTATTTACTTGCTCTGTCCGGCCCTTTTTTTTTTGCCTTTACCAGTTGCTACTTGTGCTTGGTGATTCCTCCCCTCTTCCAACCATTCTCGCTCCTCGCCCCCCTATTATGTGTGTGTGTGTGTGTGTGTGTGTGTGTGTGTGTGTGTGTGTGTGTGTGTGTGTGTGTGTGTGTGTGTGTGTGCCCCACACCTGTCCCACCGGAGAGTGAGCCACAGGCTGGAAGGCTGGATGCCGGGAGGCATCGGGCCTTTCCGGCCCGTAGCCCCCCGCTCCCCACACACACTCACAAACACCACAAAACACAAATTAGTACATGCCATATCTGGTGATCAGATTGGCCTTCACCATTTCGTCAATCACCCTGCCAGACTCGTATTTCTGCCTGTTGTGGAAAACCTTGTCCACAATCTTCCAACATTCCCTCCTCCCAAATCCGTTTGAGACCATAGTTTGTACCAAGTTGTTAATTTCCAAGACAGCTTCTTGCTCATTTGTGCAGATGACGAGGGACAAGACGGTTTGCGCCGTCAGAATCTGTAGAGAATGTGCGATGGAGCGATTTGATTTAAATTTCATGAATTTCACGAGGGAGAATGAGAGACCTTTCTTCTTATCGTGCTTCGAACTGAAGTACGTGCCGTCCATGGTGGACATGACCGTTAACGAGAGGTTGAGAAAATTCCCAGCTCTTTCATGTCCATCGATTACAACTTCAGTTGTTTCTTTGACGTCGATGAAATCGTGCGGGTAGATCCTCTGGCCTGGGTTCTGGCCATGGACACCGTTCTTAAGGAATCCATTAATGATCATGTTGTTTAGAGAACACAGATCATCTATATATCTATAGGTGTCTTCGAAGCATCTCACTGCCGCCCAATCCTGCATTTCAACCAAGTGCGAGATTAGTTCGTACTAGTATTTGAAGAAATACACATCACAGAAGACAGGGGAACAAGCCAGACCCATGGGAATCCCGAGGATCTGCTTCCAGACCCTGTTCCCCATTTGTACCACCCCGTTGGAGAAGAGCCATTCACAGACGTTGATGATCCCCTGTTCGTCGACGTACAGCCTGTCCCTTTCCCTGTCCTGATCACCAGCTACCCAGTAAGGGTGCAGCATGTCATGTGCAGCGACCCTGATCGCAATCACATCCTTGGTCGTTTTGGTCGTCCTCCATTCCATGGCGCAGCTAACAAAGAAACTGATCGCCTTCAGTAACCCGTCCTCTGATCCGTCCGTGGGTATCGTCTCAAAACACCTTGTGATCTCCGCGCTGAAGATGGAGTAGCTGTGCAGTGGGATGTTTGCAACGAACTCCCCTATCGAGGAGATCAGCCACCAGAAGTTGGGTTTGATCCGATGCTTGGAACCTCTTCGCTCTTACTTGTGCAGAGGGCCTGAACATACCCTGCCAGGAGCTTCAGCAGACACTCGCAAACGTCTGCTACCGGGGAGAGCACCGAACCCGTCGTGTTCGTAATCCATCTGAAGGATTGCTTGTCCGCCTTGTACACCGTCATGAGGTGCGGGAGTGGGAGTGCCATACCTGCTCGTCAGCCACTCGATCTCGCCCCTTACTGCCATGCTATTGATGGGTTCGCCTAAGATATGCATACGCTTCGTACGAAAGTTCCTAATGAACTTCATCGCGTTCTCTCGTACGATCACCTTCACTTGCCGGTCCTCCCCCAAGGACAGCTCTTCATCGCATCTCTGTGTGGTGAGTATCTTATCCAGTGCCACCTCGACCTCGTCCATCGTAAACTCCTCATCGAGCGACCTGAGCGGGATGTGATTTAGGCCCGCATTAAGCATGAGCTGCAACTGGCCGTTGTTCATTATGCCGGTATCATTCGTGAAGACGTGTAAGGTACCTTCTTCCGGGAGCATCTTGATGGTGACCGTGTTGGGGAACTCAGCATGCCTCCCTGTGCCGTACTGGCAGAACTCTGGTACATACCTTGCCTCCCACCCGTTCATCCTGAACTTCCTGAATACCCTCACCGGTTTACAAACCTCGGCGCCTAAAGCTTCGCCATATCGCCACCCGATGACCACATCCTCTAGCCAAGTTGCCGACCTCTCCCCCATCACCTGCTTCAACGCCTCTAGGACCATGCTTCTCAGGGGGACCGCCTCCATAAGCCTGCTCGTGTATCTGACGTGTACGAATTGGTCTTGTTCCCACTCCTTCCTTTTCCATGCGAATCTTCCTGACTGAAGCACGATCATGCAGCCGCCTTCTTCCGGGTCGAAGCTCTCATCCTGCGTAGTGCATGGAAGCTCATAGGTGGGAGGACCATTGTTAGAGGGGACCTTTCCTACTGTAAGTGGTGACCAGTGAAAGGCTGGAGGAGCAACCCTCGACAGGCAATATATAGATATAGTTATACTGCGTTGATGAGGTCAAGAAAAAGCAACAGCGGAAAGGGGGGAAAAAAAGGGAAAAAAAGGGGAAAAAAAAAACAAAGAAGGAAAAGAGAAAAAAAAA